GCAGCAAGTCACAGGTCAAAGCGTTCAGAATTCACACACTGCTAAAGCACTCAATATCAAGGCAGTTTTATTTTTCATTATCTCTTGAATGTGCAAATGTGGATGCGAGAATGTATGGAGTATATGACATGACTGATCTGATGTGTTCTAGTTTGAATATGTGCATGCATGAGACCACCTGGAATTCTTACAACCTTTAATAAGACAGTGGAAGCAGTTCTGCAGATTCTCAGTGATGTTAAACAATTATGAATAATGTCTGCCATACAAACTTTGGTTAATTAGTAATTACGCTGCTGCCATTGCTTTCTGCAACTATTTCTGCAATTTCAAATGATCCCATTTAGCTAGAACTAAATCGTAATTGCATCATCTGTAAAAAGTTACTTGCATCGTCCTCAAAGACCAAAACTGTAATCAGCTAATCTGATTGATGCCTCTATGACTTGAGCCATATTTCACTGCTTACAACAAACAAAAGACCCAAAGTAATTTCATTTGTTTCCAAACGTGAGTCAAATGTGGACTGCAGGTGCAGATTTATATATTCGATAATTCCAGATGGGTTGAAATATTTCAACCTTTGTAACTACACAATATGTGAATCAGAATGTGATGTATTCTGATCATAATTATGTGCGCGAGGTGAGAGTTGTCAACAATTTGTGTCTTTTCTTTTATACGAAAACACACTACTTGCTACTTCTGTAGAGTCTAACTTTATAAATATTTAGGCTGTTTAACACTGCAGCCTTAGGCAAAAGTATTGGCAGTCATTTGTTCTATAGCTATTCATTTATTATTAATTCATTCCACCATGGTCAATAAGAGGAGGAAAAATGCTCTTTCTGTCCCGTTTCTGTACTGGAGACGAAAAGAGAAACATCACAGGTCTGTTTGGATAAAACATCAACTTCACAAACAAATTAATTGTGTATTAAAATTCCACTAGGGGGCGAATTGCGACAGTTGCATTCTGAGGTAATTTGGCAATAACTGATAATGAAGTAGCGGAAACTTTGACTTCTGCCAATGTACCTCTTCTTTTGGTTGCTTTCAGTTCCTGTGTTGCAGTGTTTGTCTGCACAAATAAACTGATTTTACAAAAGCTAATTCATCCAAACAGTTTTTTTTTTGGAATGGCTCTGCTATTACCAGAGGCCAAAGAAAATAAAAGCTAAGTGAAATCTAATCAACTGCCATTGAAGCAGAATCAATCTGAATGTGTGCAGAGCTTTTCTACAGCTGCTGATGTCCCTGACAGAGAGGAATAGATAGAATGCCCTTCATACTAACAATGCACACCGGCTGCCTGTTCTCTTCCACTGCGAGCGTGAAGATGTCAGACACTTCTCCAAAAGACACAGCTGAGGGAGATGGTCAGCATCCAGCAGCTCTCATTTCATGCCACACTCTTGCAGCAATGCTCACTTTCACCGTCATGCTGTCATCCACCTGGAGTAGGAAGATCTTTCACAGAGGGAAGAAATAAATAGAAGTTTGGAAAATAATATGCAAAGAATAATGCCAAAATGTCCTGAGCTCTCATGTACAGCATGAATTGGAATGAGAAGGCATGAAATAAGATGGGAAAGGTTGCATGCAGTGGTAAAACAGCATGCAAAGAAATTACCGACGAATGGTTTTTACATTTCATCAAGGATAATGAATACACGATGCAAAATGTGCATCATGACTATAGTAAAACAGTTTTGATTCAAATGTACTGCTGACAGAAATATGATGAGAAACTAATGAAAAAAATTATCATTGTTTTTAAGAATACCTAGGTTTCAAATAATCCAATCATAGTCAATAATGTTGGGGATTGACATTAGAATTCATTAACACTGTTTTACAATAATGTAGGCTACTCATTACTAGCACTGGATTTTGACACAAATTTCATGATTCGATTCAATTCTGATTCACAAGCTTCGATTATTTTGGATATACTGTATATCAGGTACAGTACATGCCAAATTTTATCAAAGAAAAAAAACTCAACTATGCTGTAAAATATACATGAGAGTCAGTTGGTACTACATTACTATATAACTGATTTGTATACAAATGCTTAAATTACACTCAATTAAGTTTTTACAATAATAAAGATACAATTACATAATTGTATTTCTACTCCAATTCATTTTTTTTTTTTATATAAACATTTAAATGGTGGCTGTCAGTAAAAACTTGACGGATTTATTTATTGTTATATCGGTGCATATACTTAGCAAAATTCTCCTCTCTAGAGTTCATTTTTCTAGCTGACTAATGAGTTTATGGTCACTGAATATGTTTTTCTGAGGTAAATGTGACTTTGTGAGATTGTTTACAAGCTGTTATATTGACATCTTTCTGTGGCTGAAACACTGATTGAGCGATTATATGAGACAGGATACAGATTTCGGTGAGTTGTACTCTTTCTTTTAACATACCTTCGGATGTTTATTCATGTTTATTTCATGCTGAAACTGGTATTAAAGCAGAGCAGGTGATCGACGTGCGCTACGTGCTTCCACTTCTCTTGAACTGAGGCGCTACAGCGATCTGTCACTCCACATTAAACAGCACCAAAACAGCATTTATTGTTTGAATATTGTAATAAAATGGAAAGAATTTGAAATCTGAGACTTTGTTTCACATCAAAAGTAACAAAGCACAAAGCTTATTGCGATTTATTGGATGGGCCGGCATGCTACAATGTTCCATTCATTAACTGAAAAGTGAAAACAGGCTAGACTAATCGATTCTTGGAATGCAAAAATGAGAAGAGATTAAAATCGAGAAATCTATATTTTTATCCAACCCTACACATTATATTATATTATTATTATATTAATATGTTTTTGTTAAATGATTATGTTTTAATAACATTTTACATATTTGGTTTAAGTTAGTTCTCAGACTATTCAATTTCATTTTAGTTTAAATAAAATTAACTTTAATCAATACTCAATCATTATGATATTTTTCTCATTGTTTTATAGGTAAAACAAACAAAAAATCTGTGTAAAAACGAACGCTGCTCTTGCATTTGCAGGGGAATGAGATGGATTTAGTATAATTTTAGTATAATCCATTCTTGCAAATTCCCCCTGCATCTGCAGTGCTCAAAATTATCATGTTTCCATTAATTAGCCATTGATTGCATATAGAGGGTTCATTTCCCATCATGCCCTTTCGCTTGATTCTGAAGATGTTCATTATTAACCCGCTATACTGGTGGCTCACATTCCTCATCCCTTAACTGTGAAATCTTGAAGCAATGCTAACTTCAATTGTCACACCATCACGCTAATTTAGTTTACAGGCTAAATTATTACATTTAATAACTCTAACACTAATATTCCTGAATTAAGACTGTACTCCAATATCAGATGGTGCTTCGAGATTTCCGGAAAGCGTTCCCAGAGAGAAACTCTTTTACATTTATGTTTCTTTGAGTGGGTTCATCAAGAAAGCACACAAAGACAGTGAGCTTGGCGTCTCGATAAAGCAATCTCACCATTGTTCGCTGCACAAAAAGCTTCCAGATTCAAGTCGCCTCTTCTCTCCCTCTCCCACTCTCGCGTTCAGCCTAACTATCTGTGGCAGTGATTGAATCGCTCTGTCCTTTGCTGCAAGGGCCCTACCTTATTTAATCCTTTACGTGGCAGGTCACTCTGGGAGCGGATGCTGTGTAAACAGTGTGGGCCCTTGATGTGGGGACTCTGGGGTAAGAGAGCAGGGACCGAGGGTTATGGAGTCTCCCAGCTCTTGGGAACGATGGGCCTTTAGAATGTAGGGGCAATGGTGCACTGACCCTTAGCAAATAAGAATCATGTTCTGGCATTCCAGCCTTGATTGGCACTTTGAGCTTGAAAAAAAATCTCAAAGGAACACAGGAAATGCTACTTGTGTAATTGGTTATATATTAGCGCTGCATTCTCCTCGTTTAAAGGATGGGAAATTCCTGGGTGACACATGGAAGAGACTGTGGCATTACACAGGCTGAGGTTAGCTGGAGAAAAAGCCAAGATCAAACCTGGCGGCCATGGCAAGGACATAACTACCTTAACACCACTTGCAGATAAATTATCTTCATGTCTTGTTCTCTTTCTATTTGTCAATCTTTTATCTATCTCGTTCCAGAGTCTCTGCAACTGAAATCTTTTGGATCCCAAGTTTGGATCAGTAATTGCACGAGCAGCATGTACTGTATGAGCACATATATCAGAGGTTGGGATGGGCAAAAGATCACACCAATGATCGGTCAAACTGAAATGTATGCAACTATACTTCAACGTCTCAAAAACAGGCTGAATTTTTAATTGAGCAATTTGTTATGGTAGTACCTTGCTTTAAAACAGCTAGATGGATCCTAAATGTGCGGTTACATTTGCAATTTTGACAACAAAAGAAACATCCCAAAATATTCTCCCAGCTAGCAAATGAAACAACCCTAAATAACTGCTTTCCAAACAGCCTCATTTTATAGTATTGAAATGTAGAGTTAAACAAAACTGGCAAAGGTCTAGGATGAACACATGCTATTGGTAAGCACTGCAAATTTGTGTGTCAAAGCTCACCAATCTAGGTAATATTAACATTTTGTCTAAATAAAATTAAAATAAAACAATAAAATTTTGAATCAATGGTTTGAAATGCTACAAGTGAATTTAAACACCACAACATTACAATGTAAAGAAAAATTGATATTTAGAATTTTGGTAAATTATATTTAACAGTGTTAGTTTTTAAAAAAATTTAGGTGAGCGTTATATTACAGCAAAGGTCATCTAAATGTAGAGGAAAAAAGTATGTACAATATCGGTTATCGTCTAATATAATAAATGTAAAAAAATATGTATCTATATCTAATGTCAGCCAATAACCAATATAACACCAATATATTGTACATCCCAATACTACACCCGTTGAGTCCTTGAGTGTACAAGATAAAACTGTACTGAAGTATAAATTTTGAATTTCTGTATTTTCTAAAAAGGGTTGGATTCACCAAGTTGTGCATGAAAACATATGACGTAGATGGGAAGGTTCAAATCATAGACGTGAGTAGGCAGTAGACACATACGTGAGTGAGTCCTGACCAACTAAATTCCATATCAGAGGCAAGTCACCATGCAATTTCTTTCAAGATAGCATCTATTCGAACACAAACATCAGGATAGGTAGGGCAGATAACACAACACACGACGCCAAGCCAATTTAAAAACAGTGACACCATTGCTAGGCAATGGAAACGTGAAACCATTCTATGCATGCACAAACACACACACTCTCTCACACACACACAATCCTTGGTATGTGACCTGGGGAGAAACTACAAAAACAGGCCCATCTTCTCATAAATTAAGCAAAACTTGTCAGATTCCCACTGTCTCGGCCCATTAAATTCTAAACAAGACATGGGAACCGACTCGGTCGGGACCAACCGCCAGCCATCCCTCCCTCACTCCTCATTCCTGTTTTTCCAGTAGAGAGCTGGTCAGCCGGGAAGAGTTCGACTATCACCTGCTTCATGTTCTACACCCCAGTGTAGGCCCAAAAATGAGTCACAGAGGAGGGATCGGAATGAGGGCAATGTAAAACATGTGAAATCGGCTCTGGAATTTCAATAGCACCACGGCATACCGCCACCCCCCGTCAGCACCCCACCCCCAGCCAGAGAGAAATCTGATCAAGATAAAGTGTAGAGGTTAAGGAGACGACCCGCTTCCACTGTAACAACCTGGTTCTGCGCTTGGGTGGGAAACCTGGAAAAGATTCGGAAGAAGCATGAAAGGCTGCAAAGAAAATTCTGGACAATAAAATAAACTACCAATTATTTTCATATACAGGTTGATAAGCAATAAATGGCCGATATTACAGTTTTATAAGATTTTGTCTAAATAAGCTTTAAAAAAGCACAACTTGATATATACTAGCGGTGTAATGATCAATTAAATGTTCATGTTTTTGGTTGCATTTGTGAGTTAATAAAAATATAACTGGTTGTATATAATCATAATATTGATGTATCAATCAAGGGCCCCAGAATCTAATTAAACCATAATTGCATTGCAGCATGTTTAAGGTACAGTATCAGCAAATATTGTATCGCTCAGGTCGTCAAATCAGATCATTACGAAACAACCAATTTACATTCCTAATATCAAAGGACAGCATTCAAGTGTTTATTTGGTTGATTAGGAAATGCATTAAAAAGAAAAATCAGGGAGAAAAAAAGTCATCCATTTTAAAAAGACACTGTAATGCACAACTAAGACACACATTTAAAATATTAAAATATTTAAACATAGGGATGCACCAATATTAAAATTCTATCTGATACAGATAAGCAGATGTTATATGGCTGATAACCAGCACATGGCAGATATTGGAAATCTATATTATTTTGCCTAAATAAATGTAAAAAAAATATAAAAAACCTAACATCAGTAATTTTAAATGCTACAACTGAATTTAGCCATCACAACATTATATCAACCATTCTTTCCTTAATATTGTTCATAATATTATACTATATGGGTGCCATGCAGGTACAATCTCTTTTCACAGGCTGATCTGATCTTGTCTGCTTGACAGGTGCTAATACCTTTCACAGTGGAACAGGATGTACACTATGAAGATCACGGGTAAAATTAGATGTTTAACATCACAGCTTCACAGAAACATGTTCCAGACATGACCTATATTCCCAAGCCTCACTGAAAGGCAATCTGACTGATGTCTATTGTATTATAAATAAACATAACATTCCCTCTGATATCTTTTGGACAAGTCGTCCTGGACTCTGTTGCACACATGCAGTGAGAAAGAAAGAACTGTCGGTTTTATTTCTGCTCGTCACATCTGATGTTCTCCCATCTAAAGAATAGGATCAGGAGGGTTCGCTCCTGGCATTCCCAACCGGGGCAGATTTTGCCAGTTTCTCTCCAGAGTTATAGACTCTTTAAAGGGCCATAAGTGAACTCTGACATCCTGCGAGAGCTTTTAAAATGCCTCTGTAATCCCTTGTTTGAGCAGTCTGGAAACGTCTTGTCAATGCCTATCAGTGCACCATGACTGATGGCATGGGCAATAGCTATAAAACATGCGTATGGGTGGCGTACGGTTTTGAGCGACTTTAAAACGAAGGCTTTACGAACATATCCCTTTTATGAATGATCGTGAGATAGTGCCATTTAGCCTGCATGATATTTCGAATGCACGCTAAAGGCATTCCCTCTTAAAACAAACCAAGCTGCCCTGCAGTCTCCAGTCACATGAACCTGGGAATGATCTGTTAAACATGGCTGATGGAAGACAGACCGATCCACTCTAGCTCCCCCAGATCACCACTATGCCTGTTTCTAAGTGCCTTTACTTGACCCTTATGTTCATCTTTGAAGGAAACGCCAAGGAATGCATGGGTTTGGGGAGAAAAACGAGATAACTGGGGATGTGAATCGACACGTCCTGTTTACACCACAATAACAGTCTGAGCGAACGCTGTGGAGAACAAGCTTCAGGCATGCCGGTTATGCACTGCGCCACACTGGAGGTGTGTGGGCAGCGCTGGAGGAAAAATATGAACACAATAGAATGAAAATATGCTTATGTAAGTGAGGAGGGGTCATGGGTAACAGCGTGCAAAGTATTTAAACGCTGGAAGGTGCAACCATATTGTTTGAGCTTCTGGCGCCTTGAATTTGTTTATGCTGCATCTGTGTGAGAACAATTAACTGTTTGTCTGGTAAATAGACAATTAGTAATAAGATAAGAGGGTCTATTAAGACTGAATCTTTGCATGAACACTTTGTATAGGGACTAAATCATATGAAAAATTCAATAGGCTACTAAAAACTCAAGTACGAGGCTGAACCTTGACCACACATACTGACATGCCATCCATCCACATTTTACTGCCACTAAGTAGCTCTTACACATCTAAGTGACTTTTCTGGAAGGTAGACCATTCAGTATGCAATATCGCCATCATCTGGTGGTGTATTGTTTAACGGTGCATTAGTGTTTAACTAACTAAATCAACTTGTATGCTACAAATGTTTTCGTTCTCATCCATGCAGAAGATTACAGCCTATTGCTCTGTCCAACCCCTCACCTAAATAGCAAGATGTTGAGTCGGAGCACCGTAAGAGTAGGCAAGTTTAAACAGGGAGGAGACAATCCGCGGTTTTGGGAGACCATTAAAAAGATGATAGGTGGGGTGTTCAAAGCATAGAATTTACTTAATCATCACCGCAAACTCATGTGTTAGTTATGAAAACAGACTCAGGCATTTAAGCAATATCACACGAGTAAGTGGAATCACAAAATGTTGATATTCAGACTGAAAGTGTTTAAGTGTGATATTGTTTTGATACACTAGTTCTAGAAACAAAAACTCAATTTGATCAGTTAGCTTGTACATTTGTCTTACTCCAACAAATAATAGTTCTAAAAGAAGTCAAAGCACTCTACCACCTTGCATTTATTTTTGTATTGTACTTATCCAGTTGTATTGTGGGTGGTGTGAGACACATTTATCAATAAAAATGTTCAGTGTTCAAGGCCTCTCCCACTTTTGTGGGAAAATGTCCCTTTTTTTTGTTTGTTTTGTTTTAATGAATATTCTGAAGAAGACAAAAAGTGCTTTAATGTAATTAATTTGCCTATATTCTGATTGAATTTCACATTCATAAATAAAAAAAAAAAACTTTATGGATTTGTTGTCTGAAAGCTGTACATAGTATTAAACACTCTTTGAATGAAAAAGCTTTAAAGATTAAAAAATATTGGTGAACTCTATAAAACATTTATTTTATACATATCCTATTGTACCCTTATTCTGAATTTTATATTATTAGTAGTAGTAGTGTTATTCTTTTTTTATGTAGGTCTATTCTATGTATTTTACTTGTTTTCCTCGACAGTAATTTGTCCTCAGTGTTCACTCATCAGTCCACTTAAGCTCCACTCCAGGTTTTCCATTTCCTGCACCCCACTTTAAGTGAACATGAAGTGAAAACACCAACGCTCAGAAACTCTTCCTAACTCCAGGCAAGTTCACACAATTCTACACCGCTCACACACTCTGGTCTGGGACGCTGTGAACACAGGCGAACAGAGTTATACATGCAGTAAAACATCCTATGCTGTTGCACTAGACACCAGAAAAATAAAAGGACTGGAACTGCACTATTATTTGGAGTTAAATAGGCATCCACTTCTGTATTACAAAAAGTGTGTAAACAGTGACATCTACCGGAGTTATTAGTCTACTGCAACTTATTAACAGTTCTCCTCACAGTGTCACTTTGGATAATAAATTATCTTGCAATGTTAATGTAAAATTATGCAACAATGTTAAATAAGGATACATTCAGTTATATCAGGTGTAGAATCCAAAACTTATCAAATCAAACCAATTGTGGATCATTTATAGTGTGGTTAAGAAGCACATAACTTTACCTGTTCAATCATGCGACCGCTGATAAAGTTCATGCCAACCAAGTATTCCCGTAGGACGTTTAGACCTAAAGTGTGAATGTTTCGAAAAATGTTGATGGGTTCTCATGTATACTTCATATTTCTTTATAGAATACTATCAATCATATCCATATTTGTCTACCAAACAATCCCGATTACCGGTCACCGGAGAGCTATCTAGTAGGCTATGTTTTATTCACACGCAGCGCTAGGGGTCGCTATTGCGCTGTTATAACCAGCGAAGAAGAGAGGTAACTATGTACGTAAATCCCTCTTTGCTCCTCACAGTGCCATATGTGGACACTACAGAAGGGGCTGTTTCTATTTGGCCGAGCATGGAGTAGCTATGTTAATACTGTCTTGTTTTTATTTTATTATTTTATTTTATTTTTTGATCACAGATAAGAGAGAAGTTAAAGGATGCAGAATAGAGAAAATAATATTGATTGGGGGCAAATATTTGAGTTCTGCAGGGGCAGAAATATGAAATGTTTGCATGGTGGAGACAACGTTAAATGGGTTTTGAAATTATTTATAAATATTTTATGCAAATAAAAAACTGATCAAATTCTGATAAATTAAAGCTATTTAAAACCCCTGTTTGAATCAAATGAATTCTAACTCCTTGGTTAAAAATGAATGTTCCTTTAGGGATTTCTGATAGCATGTTTTCGATTAATGAGGTCTGTTGTTGACATTGCTTCTTTAAATGTACAGTAATACTTAAATCCAGCAGATGGTATCATTGATTGTGTGTGTGTGTGTGTGTGTGTGTGTGTGTGTGTGTGTGTGTGTGTGTGTGTGTGTGTGTGTGTGTGTGTGTGTGTGTGTGTGTGTGTGTGTGCGTGCGTGTCTTTCTGTCACAAAACATAGATATACTGTAGCGACAAACCATCATTCTTTGATGCTTTATGTTTTAAATTCTACTTTGTCCACATGATGGTGAATATTAAAGGAGTTAAATGGACAGTTGAAATAATCAAAGTGACGCTTGACACGAGCTACCGGTAGGTGGCATTAATTACACTACTAATTATTACACGATCTAATCGAAACTCATTGAAAAAAGTGCAGTCCGGTGCAGCAGACCTTCCCCATCTGCCAGACAGCTTTTCCTGTCAAACATTTGCTTGCTAGGTCTTCTACTTTCTCCAGCATAAAAGCTCAGTCATCATCAGTTGTTGTTCAGATACAAATGTTTTCAGTCTGTCAGCAGAAATAGAATACATTTTGCTATAAAATGCAAATAGATAACATGAGATTCAAAAGCTCTGTTTTTTGAGGGTTTTTTTTTTTTAGATTTCAAATATTGTTCAAAGCAAAGTTTTGAGGGCAAACACACCTAATTCCAATTTTCCCACACTGGTCCTGTTTCTCTGGCAGAGGAAGCAGGCCTTCTGGTGTTGGTATTTAAAGTATAATTCTGTGTAAAGTTATTTTGCATCGGGGCACAAAATACAAGAGTGCCAACTATGATTCCAAGTATGCTTTTTATGAGCTGCCAGCCAAACAATCCAGTGTGGGGCAAGAGGACATATTTTAGAGGCTTCCGTGAGTGTGTGCCAAACAGAAATAAACAGCACTCAGTTAACAAACTAGTGGGACACATGTCAGTGTCACCATTTAAAACAGTGCAATAGTCATTGGATTTTTGAACTTATTGCCTGCATAGTGTCTGCATAGTATAGTGCATATAAATTTATCCACCTCCAGATCAGCACAGCCATTTTCTTAAAATATATAGTAAAATATAATGTATTGACCACAGAAGGTCACAAGTTCCACAAAATTCTTTAATTAGCTTTCCAGTGGCCCAGTGGGAGATGTCATAGCATTTTATATTAGTAAATACTTGTACTTGTGGTGTCAAGCAATACAAATTCTATTAAAGTAACTAAAAGCTTTTTTGCATTTATTGTTCTCTGGATTTTATGAACACGCTTGTTGAGTGTTTTACATTCTTTAAAAGAAGAAATCTCTGTCACATTTGGGAACTTACATGTTACCACACTTGATTTTGTGAGACAGTTCCACAAAATTAAAACCAGCACATATTTCGGCAAACATACTTGAATATGGGATCCATTTACTGAAGTTTTTGCATTATTTATCCATGGCAAGAGCACAAATTTATCAGCAGTTGAGTGTTTCTGTATGTGAGAAGTGGTTTGTGTGTGCATTTTGCTTCAGCAGACAGTGGACTCCTCAAGCATTCTTAAGGGAGCATTAGTAACTTCTGACACCTGTGCATGGAATTGATTATAACTTCTTTTTTATGTCTTCCTGCATTCTTCAATTTTATATTATCTACCTAAGGGCATCTGCATTAATTTACGTGTGATAAAATATGTCCCACTTGCTGAAACCTTCTTATAATCATTCCCACCACATTCCTCTCTTTTTAATAACCACATCTCCTTTTTATTTGGGATAGAGACCTCTATATATCATTTAAAGTGGAAATTCTCATACTTTCCCTGATTCACAAAAAATGTGTGATGGTCTAAGTGAATCACACAGCCTTTTCTTTGCTTCAGTATTTAGTTATTGGAAAGAATGTTCTATAGTTGGATGATTCACTTCCCTTTTTGTCAGTGCTGGCTTTTACTGCTAGTAGGCCCGTGAGCTGACCTTATGAAGTTTCCACAGAAGAGGTCTGTTAGATCATTTAGCCTTTGTCATCCTGTCATTATGCAATCATGCAAGGTTTGTTTAAGCTCTTCTACAGTGTCGACAAATTTCTGTTCTGATAAAAAGTGAGTTTTACAAATTAGTGTAACAAATCAAATTCTTGAATAGCAGAGACATTTCATGCAGAAACTGCTACAAATTATATTTATGGATAGTTTAAAACAAGAATGATGTCAATTTTGTGAAGAGGTTTTGTTGATTTAAAAGCTGTAAGAGACACATTAGTCAGCATTAAACAATATTACATAGATGCCAGCTGTGTCCCAATTCAAAGGCTGAATACTTCAAAGGCTGCATTAGAAGACTGAATGCGTCCCAATGGCATATTTAGACAGGTTGTGAACCCTGATTTGTTTTCAGACTGTTGAATGTAACTTATAAAAAGTCCATCATAAAAAAGTCCAAAAAGTGCCCATTTAACAAGGCTATAGGCTCGGCGCAATGAGTATATTAGCGTATGTTAGCGGTCACATTACTGAAATTTCACTGACAAAAAGGTCCATTGTCTATTCTCAATAGTGTAGTTATGTATGGAGCACAGCACACAAAAAAGTCACTTTCAAAGCAAGCAGATTTTTAATGGTAAATACTGCAAATTTGCACAACCATCTCGAATCAGGACTAGAATCTGAGTGGGGAAATCATTTGACCTTCCAGATAGAATGGATTCCAACTGAAATTATTGACAAATTTGTCAAACAACAGTAAACGTGACCATACTTTTACTGAGAGTAAACAAATCTGGCATACCCCATTTTCTGACATTCTATAACATACTACATGCTTGCGGTATTTCTGATGACAAATGATTCGTAATGTTTGCTTTGACATGCCCAGTGCAGACACAACCTCTCTCATTTTGAAACATTCAGATTTGCATTGTGTGAACACCCTTGAAGTGTTCGTTCACTTTGCAAACCATCTCCTATTATCACAGAGCAAGATGTTCAGTAAATACAGTCAAGAGGTTTTCAAAAAATGTGAACTTTAACACGCTCCATCTGCTGCAGAACCAATCACACATGTCCTGACTCCATGTACAAGAAGAGGTTATGGAAAAATACTGAAGGATTTTTGGACGCAAGCCCGTCCAAATTTACAAGAGCAAAGAATATGTCTCTCACATTTGAACTGTGTTGATTCAACACATATAGCATATGCCTTATTTACTCTGGCATATAACAAAGTCAAATTTAGCCCAAGCATACTTAGTTGTTGTGTTTATCCATGTCAGTTGACTTTTATAGACCACACATTAAAGTCAGAAGTATCCTTATGTCCAAATGATTCATTTTGGCCAAGTGCCTTCAGTGTAAGTTAGCAATTTCATAACTCATCAATTTTCAGATACATTCCGTACGAGGGAATCATGTTAATAAGAAAAAACAACAACTGAAAAACACTCAGTTAGTCCTGAGTCAGTTAGTGATGTAAGCATTGGGAATAACCCACTGCATGGTAGCAAATAAACTCAGCATCATATAGTTATTCTTATGGTCGTGGGAAATAGCACCCACTGACAAAACCAGGAGAGCTGGCAATGTGGTATATGTAATTTGGTTTGAGCACTTGAAGTGAAACCTCATAATTGTAACACTGAGACTCTGTTCATTCACTCAGGTGCTTTATGGTTGTTATTTGTTTCTGTATAAATCAAAGGAAAACCTAAATATTGCAAACTAGGGGGGAAAACAATAGGAAAGGGGATACCTTTATAAAAGAAATTGTGTCTAGAAAGTCTTTTTTCCATTTATTTTGATATCCAATGATGTTAGGTTCAGTTTGTCTTGAACATCAAGTTTAATTCAGATCTGCACTCCAGATATCACACACAATTCACCATCATTCCAATTCTGAGGAAATACAGAACGGATGTTCCTCAAGGCTCTGTCCATGAGAAATCAATTACACTGGCTCTCAGTAAAGTTTTTATTGCCTCACAAATCCATAGATGTCTAACCCGCAACACTGCTAACCTTTAACATTAGCCTCAGTAATCAATAGTTTGTTTTAATCAAAATAAAATTTAAGCAATATAAGACCTAATGAGACTCTAACTGCCTAAATTGACTTGCAACATGCATAATTGGCTGACAACTTCCTGTTCTGAAGTCCCTCCCAGTGATATTTAAAAGACCACCATCATAAACACACATCGTTTTCCTACAACAAACCCTTTCTCAGTGTCAAGTAGATTTCAAATAATTTACAGCTAAACAGCAAGGACAACAACTGTCACATATTTTTGCTATAGCACAATAACAGTCGTGTTTGCTTTTGTTGATGGGTGTGTCACCACAAACCTGGAAGCTCTGGTCCGCTGCACTCATGGAACAAACACCCACAGATCTGTCTGAAGCCCACGAGACAAAACCACCACTCATGGTTCTTATTAGAGAACTACAACAACAGACCATCCCTAACACTAACATGTATATGTTCTTCTCATAAGGGAATTCCTCTGAAAAGTAAAATGCGCTTTTAAAGTGTGATCATTTGGCAACTGTATAGGGGTCAGT